GTAATAAGATGGGAGCATATACACAGACGATAATTTTCTCAGGTGATTCTAAGATATCTTTAAAAAATTGTTACACACGCAAACGGATGTTAATTTGCGCATGCGCTAAATGAAAATTGATTGAGTACATACCTACCGTAAAATCTCATGAATAAATACTCCACAGTTGCCGACGGTGAATGTGTCATTGGGAAAACTTTCTTTGTACATTGAAACTATTTTTTGTAATATTACCATTTTACTAATCAAAAATGCAAGAGGGGCAGTTATTTATAATTTAAAGAAAATGTCCGGTACACTTCTAAATCCCTTTAGGCCTACTAATTTTAATAGATGGGCCTAAAATGGTCAAATATATTTAATAATATAAAGTATACCTATACAACCATTGTAATCTTTATGACTAATATGCGATTATATAATTATATAGGCCTACATGTTTATAGATTAGGCCTATAATGATTTTATGGTCAGTAATAATTTTTATTAAAAATTTTAAGAATATTTTTATCTATTGTATTAAGTGTAAATAATAGTAATCAAGATTTTAGCTATCAACAAAAAGATTAAGTAGCCTAAATACAATGATAATCGGATTTAAACCCTTGAAATCGATATAATGTATGCCTATTGATATTTGAAACACGTGTTTTTACTCTTCGGCTTTTACCAAACAAAACACCAAGAAGACAAAAATAAAAATTAAACAGGCCTACCCACATAATTTGTAAAGCAATATCGGTTCAGCTCGAAAACGTTCAACATCGCACGGAGGTGTGCAGTTTAGGACATAGGCGTGGGATTGTAAGCTTACGACATTAATTGGTGCTTGAGAAGTATCACTGCGTCATTATCGTCATTATCCATAAATGTTTGTGATGTTTTCGCCAGACATATATTTTGAGAATCAATCAAATTTTGGGCCCTGCAACCCCTTGGATATTTAATGGGCCCAAACTTGTGATGTGAAAACATTTAAACCATCATCTTTGAAGGGGGGGGGGGGGCACGGCGTAGGGTGGCCTCTTCCCCCAATAAAACTTTATTCGCCAGACATATATTTTGAGAATCAATCAAATTTTGGGCCCTGCAACCCCTTGGATATTTAATGGGCCCAAACTTGTGATGTGAAAACATTTAAACCATCATCTTTGAAGGGGGGGGGGGGCAACGACGTAGTGTCGCTCCTTCCACCAATAAAACTTTGCAGTTGACCTAAAATGTCGGTCTTCATATAAAGAAAAAGAGTGCCACCTGGGGCGGACTGCCCTCCCCATCCCCCTTCCTACTCCACTGGCAGGGCACATCTAAAAGTCATGCAAAGGTTCTACTCAAAGCCAATGATCAATGAGTGTAATTGAGCAAAGCGAATTTAAGATTTATTTAGCAGCTATTTTGTTACCCAGGGCCCAAACCCAAACATATAAATAACAATCACCCATATGAAGAGTAAGAGTTATTTCAATGCGCAAAGATAAAATCGTTTTTGGAATCGATTTATTAATAAATTTTCTCACGTTGATATTTTCCACTAGACACCGCCCCCCCCTCCCCCAACCCTTTCTTTTTCTAAATAGAAACATTTTTTTACTCATGGACCCCCATTTTATTATTATTTTTTTAATTACCAACTCTTCTATGAACTCGCTTTTGGGGCGTCCGTTAATTATGTCATCATAATAGGAGGAGGGGGAGAATGTTTGACAGTTGTTGACAAAGGAAAGAAGGGTTTAGATTAGTTGACATCAACAAACAGAGTTTCTATAGTAAAATTTTAATATTAAAAATTGACTGGTTATCACATTATTTTTAAAAGTTTAATGAGTGTGAAGAGTCGTATAATTTTTACAGGCTTTTAACAATATACGATTGATTTAATGCGTGTGTGTGCACTGCAGACGGCTGGTCAGAATGTTAACACATTTTGTTTGTGCAAGCATGGGCGCCCGCAGGGGGGGGTCAAGGGGGGACTTACCCCCTCCCCACCCGGATTGATTGGATAAAAAAATTTTAGACAAAAATAGACAAAAAATGTATTAAAGTAAAGAGAAAATAAAGAGAAAGTAACTAAGCTGATGTCCTGTCCGTTCGTTCACCATACAAATACGCTACAGTAAATTAAAACTACATTAAAACATTACTAAAAAATTTTTGCCCCCTTCCCCTAGAAAGTTAATCGAATTTTTTGCCCCCCGCCCCCCTAGAAAGTTTTCTGGGGGCGCCCATGTGTGCAAGAGAAGTCAAAAGTTGGCCTCTCTTCACTTGTTGCAAATGACTAAGGCGGTATGTGTGCGATCATGTTGCAGGTCTGGAACAAGGACAAGGTTCAAGTGAGTGTCATAAGGTGCAGACAAGATAAATGATATTGATAGAGTATGAATACGATATTTTGAGAATTAGGGGAAAGTACAGTGAGTAACAACAATAACATCGCTGCTTGAACGGATTTGCAAAATCTGTCACATCTTTTTTGCATCACCATTCATGTTGAAAAAGCATTTTCAACATCACCGACAATGCCCTCTTGACTCTTTAGCAAAAGAAATTACCACCTGCTACTCAAAAAAAAAAGTATTCGACCAATGCGAGTAGCTGCCAGGAGACAGAGAGATCTCATGGCAATTATTGCTCACACCGACAATGCTTCTATTTTAAGTACTGTTATTTAGATCCGCAAGATGAAAATGATAAATAAGCCAATATAGACTATGCCCATCAGGGGCGTCATTTCTGGGGTGTTTTAGGGGTGGAGGGAGAACCTATACTTGGTCGGCTTGTTAAGTTGTTTATTATACTGGAGGCGCCACAGCACATAGCAATTTAAATTTTTATTATTTTTAAAAAGGGGAAGGGGGGAAATGACAGCAGCTAGAAACTATACTACAATTGTCAGCTATACTGACAATAATCATATTTGTACTCTCAAAAACAATGCTATTGGTCTTTAACAGCCGTTTAATTGATTCTGCATTATAAAATTTAAGTCTACAAACTTTTTAACTTGTTGATTAACAAGCTAAAAATGTTTTTTTCTACAATTTTGTGTCATTAAACTACACCAGCACATCCAACACCTTTTTTTTTTTGGGGGGGGGGGGAGGGGGGAGTTATAAAATGTTTACATAATTAAATAGCGTGGATCATTGAAAGTTTGAAAGCTGTTGACAGGGGGGGGGGTAAAAAAATTGCAAATTGTTGACGTAATTAATGGACTACCCCTTTAGTTCTTACTGTTTTAATTGAGAACCACGGGCAGTAACCGCTGAAAATTTTAATCACAGAATTCCGACAGACTTAATTATTGTTGATTTTTACAACTCAATAGACCTAGTCTAAAATTTCATTAGCCTAGATCATTAATATTATTATGACATCAATAAAAATAGATAAACAGAGACTAAAACTAGGCCTAGTTTTGAGGTAACATTTAAACTACCCCTTAAAACAAAGTTTTTCGTATAAATCAAATAAGTGCTTTATAAAATGTAATATTAGCAAGGGGTGGGTGGATGGGGATTTAAAATTTGACAAAACATACATACGAGTAACGCACCCCATATGAATCCCAGTTAGTGCCCCCCCCCCCTTTCCTCCCCACCAAGGCCCACAGCCGCAATTTTCCTTTCACGTCCCTGAACTACAGGCCCATTAATATTCAAATGACCCACCCGCTTTTACACCGCAGATTTATTTCACAACTATTTCAGAAAAAAACATAAGATAATATTACGCACCAAACACAATTGCGATGTTTACTTAAATTTGTATTTTAAAGAATCTCATTTGGCGCAGTTATCGGGAAGTTCATTTCGTGAAACGAGCCACAAGTGTCATCATAATTCATTCATCCTCCACTTGAAAAACTGATTTTTGGGGGTTGGGCGGCTGAAAATTTGATCGAATGTGTTGTCATCTGCAACGAGTCTATGTGCCAAGTTTCAGCTCGATAAGTGGACGGGAAGCGGGCCAGTTAGTGCTAGCCGCCCGAAGATTTTGCGAAGAAATAGCGAAGTTAATATGAATTATTTAAAGAAAGGGTTAAGTTTTAAAACGATTTTATGACATCCTCTAAATCTAAATGGATGTTTTTAATTCAATGTTTGGGTATTTAACTATGAACGTCTTATTCATTGTTTCATACATCCAAAAATTATAGGCGAAAAGCTGAAAAATTAACGATTTTTATACTATGTCAGCATGTGGAAAAGACGTGTGAATACTGGAGGCAAGCTATTTCCAAAACTTAATTATGTCTTTTTCGGTGCAAGTATCTTAAAACCCAGATTTATCTTAAATTGCAAGTTGCAGATTATTTTTTTCCTACACTTTCTAAAAAATTGTATCTCTTCCGTATGTCGTTGAGAAAAATGTGTAATTAAATACTTGGTGGTAATATTTATAAATCACTTCTGCAATGTTTCATTTTTGTTTTTTGGAAAGAAATTGAAAAATCAAATTTTTTTTTTTAAAAACATGGTACGAACAGGAATGTTTTATTTCTATTTATCCCTATGATTTAGACAAATCCTACTTTCTCTATCCTCATTATTAGAGTACGCTTTTGAGAGTTTCCTATACTGGAGTAACCCAGTAGTTTGCCGAAACTCTACAAAATGACTCTTGGTTTAAAAATAAAGTCCATCATGACATTGGTCGCTCACCCCACTTTTTTGTGTATGTTTTTGTTGGTTCTTCCAGTAGCAGGCAATATTAACAAGTTACGTAATTAGGCCAGCAAAACTCCGAGTTTAACATGATGTATTTATTCATGAATATAGGCTCATACCAGAAAAGGAAAAAAAAAAAAAAATGTGCTGCTACAACAGAAATACATTTGTCTAGATTGAAAAACCTTCATCAATGCGTTTCACAATATCTAATATTGAACAGCTTATGATAAAATTTGTTGGTTCTACCAGTAGCAGGCAATATTAACAAGTTACGTAATTAGGCCAGCAAAACTCCGAGTTTAACATGATGTATTGATTCATGAATATAGACTCAAACCAGAAAAGGAAAAAAAAAAAAAAAAATGTGCTGCTACAATAGAAATACATTTGTCTAGATTGAAAAACCTTCATCAATGCGTTTCACAATATCTAATATTGAACAGCTTATGATAAACATGTGGAACTCGTATGGTTGTTGGTCAGTGAATCAACAGTAAAACAGTTTTGATACTGAACACTGTCTTAGCAGTCAATGAGATTTGCTAAGCTGAGGCTTTCAGAAGGGTACAACACAACATGATCAACTTTTATTAATTATTTTGCCAATGTCAGTTAACGCTTGGTCAAATACAAATAGTGATTTGCAGTTATCAAAGTAAACAGGAAAGTGAAGCCTTATAAAAAATAATTTAGAATATGTTTTAGGCAAGAAATAATCAGCCATATAAAAAATTATTTAGAATATGTTTTAGGCACACCAAAAAAGTCAACTTTTTGTGAAGAATTACCTCAAGTTCTTTTTAAAATCAGGTTGAGAGCCGTCTAAATAAATTAACCTCAGTAAAACATGCATGGTTTTAATGGAAAAAACCACAAATATCACCACTGAAAAAAAAAAAATGCCACAAATGATATGAAAATTTTCCTAGCATTTTAATCTCTACAAATTTGTAAAACTAACACACACACACTTTTGCCCCCTTGGCAACAATTGACAAACATATGAAGGTTGCTGCTTATATTGGAGTAAATCAAACAGCCTGCACCTCCCATACATAAAATGCCACTTGGAACCAACTTCTCCTATAGCAACCCATGAGAACATGGCAAGGTAAGAAAAAATGGTGACTATAGTGTCTACCATTATACATTTTTTTTCCTAAACAGCAAGATTCAATGAGATTTGACACTGTTCATATGGCTATTTCTGCCAATTGAATGTTTTTGATGTCCTCATAGTTGTCCAGTAACCTTTTCTATGTAGAGCATTCATTTTAAACTAATCACCAGGTCAGAGAAATCTCTCCTTAATTTTTACTTATAACTTTTAGTAGAACTAAACATGTGGATCTTTGCGCTATAGAAATAGTTCTGGTTTTATGGTAATTATATTAGATAAGTGTCAGATTGAGGAACAATTACCATATTTTACTCCTCAAGATATGAATTATTTTTTTTTAACATAATGAAAAAGCTATGATTTTTGTTCACAGTTCATAGCTTATTATTATGCTCAGAATATTTGACATGATTAACAATACTAACTCAGGTTTACAAATGAGGACAAGAGAAAAAAAAAAAATCGCTTCTATATTCATGACTTCTATCATAAAAAAAAAAAAAATTAATTGCAAGTCTAATACCAATTTTGGAGTGCCAGCATAAATAACTTATTTAATAAGAAAAAACTACCAATAATAAGTTTGTTCTTTTTTTTTTATATTTTGTTTACAGTTCATAGCTTATTATTATGCTCAGAATATTTGACATGATTAACAATACTAACTCAGGTTTAAAAATGAGGACAAGAGAAAAAAAAAAATCGCTTCTATATTCATGACTTCTATCATAAAAAAAAAAAAAATTAGTTGCAAGTCTAATACCAATTTTGGAGTGCCAGCATAAATAACTTATTTAATAAGGAAAAACTACCAATAATAAGCTGGTTCTTTTTTTTTTATCAATACTCATGAAATGAAGCCCACTATTGTTCATATTTGCATAATTTTTTTTTCTCAATAGTTTACGGTAAGAGCATATTTATAAATAGATAATGTATTTTAATAAAAGAATAGACACTTGATTATCCTACAGTAAAAAGTAAAAGTATAACAATCTTACTTTAAACTGCTACTAAATGCTAAGTGTATGCACACAAGAGTGAACAGCCCTTTCCAAATGATATTTCATTTTTGTAAACTGGGTTTTCACTTTCTTGACAATTTAAATATTAATGTCAACTGTAAAATATGGCCACAGCTTGATTTCAATTAAAAATTCTTCACTTTACATAAAGTCAGCAAACAATGAGATTTGAAAACAAAACTGCAGAAACATATAAAAGAATTACCTGCAGCCTTATTTAACATAAGACCATTTTTATTTCTTTTTAGTGTCAAATTATACCTGAATAAAATATTAACAAAATGGGGTATTTTTAACTTTTTAAAAATAAACACTTTATAAAGTCTCATGTTGTCTATTCCATGTAATGTGAAAAAGAAGAACAGAAATACCAGGAGTTACAAAAGAAACTTTACATCATAGAAATGCAAACATTTATTGCAAGCGCACACATTCATCTACTTTTCATACGGCACATGTTGAATGACTTAAATGAAAACTAACACAACCATTAAATTACAAAGTACTGAAAGGAGGGGTTTTCTGGTATTGTTTGAAATGTAGATGTTTATGGTAGTAATGATGATTTCTATTAAATAATAAAAGGTTGAGTTTAAAAAAAATATATATTTTAGAGTCTTAAAGTAAGTCTTGGCCTATAATGTATATTGTTGACTCATATTCACAAGCAAGCACTACAGAACTAGTAAATACTGAGTTAGCTCATTTATCAATACACTGATACTTACAAATATTTTATACAAAAGGTCGTAAATTATTTTACAGAAATTTACACAGTAGAAAAGTCTAAATGAAGCAAGTTCCTTTAAATTATTTTTTTAAAAAAAGGGATCTCTATGATCAGCTAAAATAAAGGAGTAGATTAATTGTAAAATATTGCCTTGAAAAGTAAATAAATTTAGGCAATATGAACACCCCAAAATATAATAAATCCTAGCTTTTGAGGGTGGGGATTGTAAAGTTTAATTACTATATTAAATAAAACTCTTTTATGATTGGCAATTTTAGTTTTGCATTTTAAGGATGATTCTCAGAATGTGTTTTATTCTCTAATACTCAACAACTGTGCAAATAAGGGAGCTAAGAGAGAATTAAATGGACAAGGTACATAAAATATATTAATACATATTTATATCTGAGATTATATTAGGGGTATAAATCATTCTTTATAAGAGTGGATAGTACCATGTCAACTCTGATACCGGTAAGTGTTTATTTGTAACTTAACTTGATTGTTAGTTCTTAATTTATTTACAAAGAAATTAATACAAAAGCTGAATAACTAAAGTTTGGTTTCCCAACTCACCAGGTGAAAAAAATGTTGTTTTTGAAATTTGTTCCAACCATACATAAATTTAACTCTCTATTCTTAAAAATTAGAAAATCTTGGGATTTTTCATTTAGAAGTTGCTAGCACATAACAGCCAAAAAGTAGACTTATTCTCATAAAAATATATTTAATTTGTCAACAATTTAGCACAATGGAAAAAAAAAATTATCTTCACAAGTTTTCTCTATAGATGGATTCTCCATAAGAAAACTAGTAATTTATACTTTTATAAATATAATATAGAAAAAAAAACCTTAAATGTCAATAACTTGCATTATATTATAAGGGTTATATTTCCATTTGTTTTATTTATTTTGGCTCTTTACAAAGTCTTCCATTTTAATATTTAAAAAATATTTAACCTGACTTTATTTTAAAGCCTTTATTAAAATGCTTTATCATTACATTGTTTGCCTTTATTGTAAGTGAAAATGAATGTTTTATATTTGATTGGAGAAATAGAATGCTAGCAAATTAAACTGGAATCAGAATTATGGATTTGCTTTTGTTATTTCATGTTTAAAAAAAATGTTTTAAGATTGTTTTTCAAGAAATAATAAGCATACATTCTCACATTAAAAATATTTCTTAATGTAACCCATTGGACTATCACTGTTTGTAATCAACTAATTTTTTTGTTGGTTATAGAATAGATCTGAGGAAAGATATGCCAACTAACAGTAAACACTGCAAAGTCCAAGTTATTTAAACCCTTTGGCTTGCAACATATCCATTATTTATAGAAAAACAAGGACAATGTGGAACCAACTATTTATCAGAATAAGAAGCTTTTTAGATCAAGTTTGTCTTTTATTTATTATTTGGCTGGAGAAGCTAAAAGTAAAATCACAAGACTTGTACATCAATTTTCATTAAGATTCTTTGCTAATAAAACTGAAACATTAATTCCAAGTAATGAGATAAATCCTTTTATAATTTTAAAGAAATCTATAACATAACCAGATTAGAGTTAACATTTTCTCCTATTTGTTTTATTGTGACCAAAATATTTTTAAATTCTGGGATTATTATTGATGAAAAAGGACTTCCTTTCGGTGCTGGCAAGGAATATACATGAAAAGCATATTTCAGGGTTCAGCAAACAAATTTCATCATTATTATTATTATTAAAGTTTTGCTAAGTTCAGATTAAATTGTAATAACCCTACTATTGCAAGTTGTCTTAATATGTTGATATCTAAGTTTGTGTTGAGACCGTTTTGTTAAATTTCATTGCCACTAAAGAGAACATTTCTTATCTGAATGTCAAACTGTTAGCGTTTTTTACTTCATAACTTATAAATTTTTTTTATATATTTCAATTGCATGTTTGTTACAGCTTGGTTTAGGGGATACATTTTATCAAGGATTTTAATATATACTAATTTAAATCCAAATCTGTTGAAAATGTGCACCTTGGCTTTTTTACATATCACACTACACATGACATCACTTAGACAATCAAATAAGCCACTCGAAACCTTCCTCACTTAACAGATCTTGATCTAAGTTTAACAGGGTGAAATAAACATTTACTGTTTACAGAGAAATTGCAGAAAACATGACAAAAATAGCCCATTTAAATTCATAGCTTTACTTTCTTTAAAACTTTTCCAGATTAGGAAGTGATATTTTATATGCTTACCCTTTACATATTTAGAAATGTTGGCAAAAATGTGGGTGGTGACATAACCAAGCACGATATCTCACCCTATCTATAAAATTGAACAGTGATATAAATAGAGGGCCTAATTATTTTTAGTCACTTGGTAACAACTAAATGTTATGTTACAAGAGACTCACCAGAAACTTTAGATCCATCTGATTCAAAAGATTCAGGTGGCAAATGAATTGAATAAATGTATACATTTAGTACAGATAAATTATTTAGAAGTCCACCTCATAATTAAATACACTGCATTTGATTTTAAAAAAATCTAATCAGCTTTTGAATATTGAACAAAACCTAAACTTCCATGTAAGTGTTTACTGAACCCTGACAAATAAATGCTGCATTATATAAGTTCTTAAAATGTACTAACATTTTACTCCATAATAAATTAACAAACAATTCTGTCTGCTCTACAAAAATCAAATCAACTTGATGCCTTACTTAACTTCAATACAGTACCATTACAACAGCACACACATACAATAAGGAATTGCTTGCGGTCATCTCCCTTTAATTATAGACTAGAAGACTCCTAAACACGTCATACAAATACTTTGGCCAGAGCATCAGCACCCGCACTAGCTATGTATGGTTTTTGTGGGTGGAAGGCAACATCGTGAATAGACTCCTCAAACTTTTTGCGATGGGAAGTAATTTCTTGAACACATGTTTTACTGTCTAAATTCCATAACCTAATTGAACAATCGTGACCTGAATTTTTTAGAAACAAAGAAGAATATATTCAATGAACAGAATTTACTTGATGCTCAAATCATTTTCAACTCAAATATTTATATATCAATTAAGATAACAAAGGGTTGGATTATTATGATTAGAACTAATATTATGCATACTTACTCCCTGATAAAAGATATAAGCCATTAGGATCTATTGCCAAACTTGTAACAGAGTCTAAGTGAGCTACCATTGAGTGAATTAATTTGCCTGGAATAAATAATTTATAAACATATAAAAAAAAGGATTTTAATTATATTTTAACATGTTTAAATCTAAACAAAAGATTTAAAAAAAAATTCATTTGCAATAGTCTCCTAAATTACACAATAGCATTCTATAAAATAAACTATCAGAAACAAAAATATGAATATTTTTTTCTCAACACTAATAGATTCCATGGTAACTTAACACAGAAACTATAAATCAATAATATATATAATGTATGTTAATAACAATAACAGTATTTTTACATAATAAGAATAATCACAGGAAACTATAATAAATTATCTTTATTTGGCCAAAAAGCAATAAAATTGATATAGTGATTTGAGATTTAACAGTATATTACTTTTGCCCTGAGATGGGAATGGAGTGGTGGTGATTTTGTGTGTGTGGAAAGGGGGTGGGGGTGTGTGTGTGTGTTTCCTTAATATTCAAGTCTATAAAATTAACTCTGCCACATTTTTGTAATGATAGTGGTGATGGTAACATTGCTGCTTTGTGTTTTCATAATGAACTCGCTAGACACTGCAACAGTAATATTATTAGTGTAGTCGCCCTGGTGACAATTTTAATTAATCCGGGCCCATCTATATAGAACGTACATACTGAAGGGAGAGGTTGCTGATTTAATAGATTTTATAGCGAGGGTGGGGGTGGTGTGTGTCTCACCATTAAGTACTTACACTATTCAAAAATTCAACAATATTTATCCTTAAACTCTGAGAGTCCAAAAATATCCTATTTATATCTCGCATGCTGTAAAATATCACGCATTGTTTTGTGAATTATTGCATTAATGTTGCCATGTATTTTCATAAAGGAACTGGCTAGATATACTCAGATAGTACTGAGTAGTAGAGATATTACAGTAATATTTAGTCTACTGTTTAAGCATGTGATGTATATTTTGTTGGGCTACGCCAGTGCTTCTAAAATTTTCTATTCCCTGCTAATTCATGTTTTAATTAGGCTCCCTGTGTTCAATTCTAACAAGTACATTTCAAAATACCGACTACATAAACAAAATAAAATAAAGGGTTGGGTAAAAATAAATATAGCAAGTATGTAGGTCACTAAGCGCCATCTAGTAACTGCAAACAGTAGTTATTCCAGTGGGTTACTGTTAGCACCAAGACGATAGATGACCCATTGGAAATAAATTATGAAAATTTTGAATATTTTATTTTGCAAAGTTCCTGTGAGGAAGCCGCAGCAACCCATATACAAAAATATGTACACACAATACCACCCACACTCAGACAGACCAGTTAAAGGACCATGTTCAGCGCCCTTTGTCTTTATGAAGTAAATGTGATTTTATAGTTTAATCCACTATTAAGGTCATTTCCAAGAATAGTTTTGGAGCCCCCAAATTTTGGATCTTTGCCCTATTCTCATGGCTCTGCCTGAGAGCAATGAGCACCCAGGGCGATAATGGTGCATATTCTGGGAACCAGTGGATTTGCCAAACAGCCAGTGGTGAAAACCCAGTTTGTTTACTGCCAAACATCCTAATTGTATAAAGATTATTGTATTTTGTTGGGTTTGTGGGGTGGGTGTCAAAAGCTCATTGGATATACGCAAAGGGGGGGGGGGGGGGTCATCAAAAAAAGTTAGCGTGCAACAGGAGGGAGAGGATGGGGGTGAAATTTGACTTTTTTCCCCCCGTACATACTTTATACATGGCACCTCCATGCATTTGTTTGCTTTGGTGCTGTATGACATAATTTTGTGATATAATTATTTCTTACAGCTGAACCGCGGCTAGTGTAGAATCATAGAAAACTACAGATTGCAACTTTAACAGACAGCAACATTAGATTTTGACATATTTTCTAGGATCTCAGAGGGCATTTGAAATCCATTTTTAGAACGGACAAAATTGCTGTACGATTTTTAATAGCCCTTCTTCCTTTTACCCATTTACAGCTTGTGGGAGTTATCAGACTGTTATCCTTTTATAAAAAAAACCATCTATTCTTAAATGATAAATCTCAAGTTACTTGGTGGGTTTTTTTAAATTCACTGCATAATTTGTTAAATTAATTCTAATTTCATTAAATTTTATTTTATGCTGATTTCCAGTTTGAACAACGTTGAATTTCACCAGTAACTTTATTTTTTTCAGTGACAGACTGTGATAACGTGATTTGCACGTTAACCTGAAATTAAGTGATATCTATTGCTGATACATGTCTGCAAAACAAAGTGACTGAAGATTGCAAAATAAACTTCAGTCATGTACTTTTGGAAGTTACCATTTTTTATGTCAGCTTAACTCAGTCCCACTAAACACATTATGCGAGTAGTCATTGTATACATTCTATATACTGCATGTTTATTTATTTACTATTAAGATACTGTATTGTACGCCTTTGAAAAAATATTGTATGATTTTAGGAGTTCAAGGGTAAACAGGTCTGTGTATACCATCTGATAGCTTTTGAGTATTGCTTAGATGCTATGAGTTTTTGTTTTCAATTGAATCTGTTAAAAGAAGATTCAATACATAATTAAAATGGCATTTTTTTAAAACTCACCCGTATTATTATCAAAAAATCTTATGTGCCGATCTTCATGTGCTGTAATTGAGATTGGTAGGGTGGGATGATTAATTACTCTGTTGATTTGGTTCCGTCCACTTGTGTCTAAAGAAGAGATTAATAGTTTCTCAAATTATTTGATCAGAAATCTATAATATTAGAGAATGTATATTTATAGATACATGAGTGTGGGTGGGTTTTATGTTCAAATAATTTGTTTTAAAGAGATAAATTGCAGGTTAAAATGTAAAAAAATCAACATTTAATTGATAAATACAAAATACACATTCAAATCAAACATTTTAGTATGGCTTTCAGTTTTTTTATATGTGTAACATGCATTTACAAAACCACAAGAAAATGAAAAAACAAAAACATATTAAATTCTCTAATAATTGTCCAGTGCAACTTTTTAATGAAATTATCTTGAATTGGTATAATCAATTTGTGTGTGTGGACCACCTTATCTTCTAAAAAAAAAAAAAATGCTTTGTACATTCTAATTAATATCTTACCAGAATTAACTTTTGTTTCCAGCATGAGTACTTGTTTCCCAGTCTCAATATCAAAAATGTAAGTATTAGAGGATGTGTAACTAGCAACCATCTGTGTTGGATCACAACGTACAAAGTCTACAGATGTTGGAACCCCTTCATCTACAAGTAAAAGAGAAGTTTTTAAAGGAACGAACAAGTCATAACTGGTGTTTTATGAGTCTGCTTGGTCGGCTTTACACGCTTGTTAACAGTGTTTGATTAAAGATTTCAGGGTAAAATGTTAACAATTATATTTATATTAATACATGTTCAGACAGACTTGAGGTACAGAATTTACAAACTTTTCCCAAACCTTCAAAGACCTTTTTTAAAACTTTTTATTATATTATAAGAAAAGAAAAAACACCTAATTATAGCATAGATATAAAATTCTTTATCACACTTAAGTATATACAACGGTCCGTAATCCATATAAAAAATTAGAACAAAGGCCAACACATTTTTAGAACATGTAGGCCTAGCCAAAACAGGTGCAGTTATTGTGCTATTGTTCACTTAAGATCAATTTTATTAACTTAAAGAAATCTACCAACCAATCAACAAATTTCTTTCTAAAAGAGTTACAGATCATTATGCATGTCATTATTTTAATCATGTTCCCCAACTTTCAAAGACAAATTTTCTTTGGTCAATTTTCCCAAACTTTCCAGGCCTTGGTAATTTTTTTTACATTTTCCCCAAAACTTCAAAGACCGTCAAAGACTGTGCAAACCCTGTTATAAGGTAGTAGGTAGAAAATATTTTGCTTACCAGATTCAACAGTGAAAGTATTCAGAAGTGGTGATTTGTTTCCTGGACTCCAAAGCCGCACAGTGCCATCCCCCGAGCAGGAGAGTAACTGATTTTTAGAGCTATGTATTGATAATCCCCATACTGCATCTGTATGTGCTTCAAGAGTGTCTGACAAGACATTAGGATCTGAAACCACAAGAACTTGCTATCTAAGTACAAGTTAAATTTTGTAACTGCCAAGTTACATTTTGTAACTGCTAATGTAGCACAAATAATGTATAAAACTTGTCAAAACTTACCAAAAGAATCATATGGATCGATATCAGATTTTGGTATGTTCCAACATCTTATTGTTGTGTCCATGCCACCACTATAGCACTGCTCCCCAGATGGACTAACTGCTAAACTCAGCACTGGCCCCACATGGGCACGAAATGTATATACAGGCTCAACATCTAAAGATGCAGCTCTAGGAAGCACAACAAAATTTCAAGAGTTTTAATACTTAGTAAGTGGTGCTGAGGGTGAAGGGAGAATAAAGGGGTAAAGGGTGGGAGAAGGTAGTGATGATTATTAGAGGTCATGGAGAGGATAAGTGGAGATCAGGGATCAAGGAGGTGGTAGGTGATGGTGAGAAAACTAACGCAAGGAAAAAAATAAAGTGACATTTTAAAATGACAGCCTGTCTGATTTAAAAACACACACAACCCTTAAAAATACTAATTTATAGGTTTATTTCTTTTAAATCATCAAACATCTACAAAAATAATTGCCACAATTTTTTATTTAAAATAAAAGTTTTCTCATACATAAAGGCATTTTCCAATACAATGCCTTATACTTTGTTGAGAATTACGAGTTAGCAAATAAGATAAATAATTTATTTTAATAACAATGGGTTTTAACATTTCTTTAATAATAATAATAATAAAGTTTATTTCAAAAACACGCTTCATCCCCAAAGGCTCGAAGCGCGGTACAAAGATCAACAAAAAACAAATCTATAATTTACCGCATTTAAAACAAACGCAACACTACAAAAACTAATTACAAGCATACAATGTCAAAGTCTTTCTAGCCATTTCAACCATAAGCAATACAGCCAAGAGGCATTAACTGGAAAATAAGTTAGACAATCATCCCAGAAGGTGTTTGCGAAATAGATGTGTCTTTAAATCGGTTTTAAAGGACTCCAGTGTCTGCTTGTTTCTGAGATCGACAGGAAGGGCGTTCAAAATTGTTGGACCAGCAAATGCGAAAGTGCGCTTTTCGTAAGTCTCAAGGCAAACACGTGGTGTCGAGAGTTTGCCACTATCGGATGAGTGGAGTCGTCTAGTGGATACATAAGGCGTCAGCAGCTCTTTCAGATAGGACGGCGCCATGTCATGTAAGCAGCGGTAGCACAAAGTTGCGATTTTGTACTCTATGCGAGCACGCACCGGCAGCCAGTGCAACTTTCTCAGAAGTGTTTTTGCATGGTCAAACTTGCGTTTGCGGAGAACAATGCGAGCCGCATTATTCTGTGCTATTTGAATTTTATCCAGGAGCGTAGCTGGAAGACTCACCATATAGTTTAAATGATAAAGAGAATGCACTTACTTTTTCGCAGGTACAGTTTTCTGTAAATTCCATAATTTCAGAGTATGATCCTCTGATGCTGTTAGTAAAACAGGCTCTACAGGATGAAATGCCAATGCTCGGACACCATCAAAATGGCTTTAAAATACAAAATTTAGTCATAAAAATCAATTTATAGTACGATACCAGCATTTCTACATCAATGTTATTATGATCATAAATTTTAACTATTTCCGGGTGAATTAGTCATAATTTTTTATCATTGAATAATATTGCCATAAAAGTACCATGAAATAATTTAAATTCACCTGAAAATTAATGTTACTTTGTTCAGGCATAGTGACCAAGTAATTAAGCCATTATACTGGCGGGAATAATTTAAGAATTGAAATCCATTTAAGACCTACCTACGCAGAGTATATTTAGCATTCCAGGTTTTTCTATATACTTCTTTAGGAGCTGATATCTAGAAAAAGAGGATGCAGGTCCAAAAATACATAGATTAATGATGGCTAATTTCTAAAATTTCCTTGACAAAACTAAAAATCTTATTTAATCACAACATATGATCGGTCTGAGTGTGGCACTATTAAAAAATTTCAATTTTCTAAGTTAACAAAATATTTATTTTATTTGCTATAGAATTTACTTACATCATAATTCATGGGATCCGCTTCATTATTGACAGTTAGTCCTGCTAACTCACCAAGCCCTAGTCCACCATCAATATTTTCCTCATCATCTTGCAAGCCCATCATAGGTTTACGGGCGTAGCTGACTTGTCCACCAGAGGGTACATCTGATGATGAATTATAATTTTAAGATTAAGGAAAATGTACATTTATTTTTGGCTCTTAGAAATAAAGATTAAAAGGTCATTACATCTGCTGCAATTTAAAGTTGTTGCTAAAGAGAATTTTAAACTCAAAATTAAGCTGGGACACAAAGCTTGAGTCTCATCTGAGATTATAAAAGTTTACTTTAGTAAGACATACATTTCCTTTGATAAAATGCAACACTAATAAAAATAAAAGGAATGAAAGGATCATAGGGATGCTTTCATACTTTGATCAAAATTATTTGATTTATTGAAAGACATGACTGAAATTATTTATGTGCAGTAATAAAAACACAAGAGGGAAGGGTTAATACGAAGAGGAGCCACAAAACATGCTTAATGCCATTAATAAAAAGCAAAGCACATTCAGAAAATACAACAAAATTTTATGGAAAAGCATTGATAACTTTATTTTTCAAGCAGCGTTTCAAAACTGGAGTCTGATAAAACCCATATAGTACGACTTCCTTGATGCATTCACTATATGATTGAAAGCTGATGTATTTCAGAGAGAAATTTCTGTTTCTTTTAAATTCAACCTTACATTTAAGTGAAAACTAATAGATTTTAAAAAAAATTTTTTTATAAACTTATACTGCTCTTATACAAATGTTTTAAACAATTAAGATTAATACTAATAGAGATAAAACTAAAGCTAGAAAATGATTATGAAATAATATAGATATAAAGAGTGAGGTTTGAAAATTTATTCTCTTGGAAATTATTTGAAAAGGAGATTAAGGTTCTATTCTCAAGTTATTTTCACTTGAACTACATAACCCATTATTGAAATACATTTTATATCAAAGAAAAGTTATATATGAAGCACTTGCAAAAATCAAGATAAAAAGTACAGTGTGAACATTTTCTAGTTTTAACCTTTGTTTTTTTTCATCTTGTTCATAACAATGTAAAAGCAATGCTGTTTAACAATTTAATCAATTAAGCTAACTTTTGCATGCCAATATTAATACTATAAACTAAAAGATTTTGACTCAACAACCAACAATTTATAAGCAAAAAAATGTCCTGGGGAAAAATAACTTTTTCTCCAACTGATAAAAATTATATGAAACTTACATGTAAAAAAAAGTAGCACACATCCACTTAATACATTTTCAAATATAATTGAGCTGGCCCTTTATCATTTCTAAATGCAGCTGCTTCCAATTAAATTTAAGCAAAGCAAAATATTTCCTCTTTTACACAAGTGTGAGGTAAGCCATCTATAGAAATATTTGCCGTAATATGAATACTTCATAGAAGTTCATCCCTACCGTCATCCCTGTCCTCACCAGCAGATAAGTGTGGGCTGTCACCGACTGCAGTTATGTCTTCTTCACTGCCCAGACTGGCAAGCATGGCCTGCAAGGCATGCCGAGTCGGCCCTGTAAGGCACAGTGGCCACATAGCAAAGAGCAATCAGACTACAGTACAGCACAAACTAAATAAAGCCCATACGTGCAACACTATATGAAATCAAGCAGTTAAAATGAAGTTTCTCATGTTTGTATTAGGCATAAACACTTCACTGTCAAATCTGTCTAGGGTGTGTATATCCCTTGTGCTTTTTCAATTCATATCAGTCAAAGAAATGAAGATTATATTATTGATAATACTGAAATGAATTGAATTAAGAAAAAAATATCACTAAAAAATCATGCAGTGTAAAAAAAATTTAATATGCGCCTAGTGTCCAAAACGCAAAAAATTATAATTTGGAAACTATTGCTGAAATTTTGTTCATAACATGCATTGCAGAATATAATTAAAGGAAGTCCCAGAAATATCTGTAAAACAACTTCAGTTCACATTATACAGAAATAGTCTTCAGGTCAAGATATATTAATAATACAATTAATTCCATTAGGTCGTTGATTTTTTAAATGGATCATCTGCAAGGGTCATGTATTACAAAGGCTTGCATATTATATTGATTTAATTGTTTAACAAAAATATAAAAAATTTAAATAATAAGGGGAAATTTTTCCTTAAATATTGAAATTATTTTATTTCAGCCTATTATGGTAGCATTATTAAGGCACGGTTATGGAAAGACCCAATTTACCAATTAAAGACCACAGTGCTAAAAGTAATTAGTCACAAGATACCAATTTTAAGATAATCAAGTTCAAATATTCTTGGGTCTATAAAATGTGATCATTTTCATTTTTTTTGTTTGTTAAATAAGGGACTTAAGTGCATTTTAATGTGTTCAAATGTATGCGGTACATTTGTCTACTGGATAAGAAAAGGTTAGATTTAATTTTGACAAAAATGTGACTTAGGTTTAGCCCAAGGGTCTTCAATTACTTTCTGATTTCTAAAAAAATATATATCAGGTTACAACTATAAATTAATTTTTTTTAATGGTGCAACATAAGTGGGTAGTTATTTTAAACATTGAATTTTGTTCACATGAACCTTAAAATCAATACACTGCCTAACAACTCTTTGTATCTCTAAAATTGTGTAAGTCTATAAGATTTTATATATTTATTGTAATGACGACAAAATAATTTTAATATTCTAAGAAATTAATATTATGATCCCAAAAACAATGTGCACTCCAATCTAAAGCTATATCCTAAATCTAAAACCAGATTCACATCAGCATGCTGCTTAACAATAATAGCTGCATCAAATAAGGAAAATGTAAACTTATTTTTTTATTTCATGTCATTTTTTAAATTTGAATTCCAGACTCCAATCACACTTTTGACAATAAATATTTTGATATGTATTAAAATTACAATCTCTCATCAGTTTACAATTTAATTGCTAAAATTTGATCATAAACTCATACAATTGTTAAACTTTTTCTTAGCTAGCACTCCCTATGCAATAACAAATAGATAAAAATCTAAATGCTTTAAGCATCCTATCATTTCAGATTCCTTAGTTACACTGAAAAAGTAATAGGTTTTCTTACAAAAATGTAGTTTAATTACAAACTAATCAAGCCTTTTTTAATCAAAATTGATATAAACATTCATCAGAGGTTTATGCAAAACTATAAACAAGAATTCCCAAAAGTAACTGTCTGAAAAATATGGAGGACAAATACAAGCATGAACTGTGTACACAGTTACAACACTTACTATTTTTCTTTCCCTTTCTTTCCTTCTTATACTGCTCTTTGAGTTCAGATATATGTCGCTGATCCACCACCCACTCCTCGTCCTCACCCGAGGAGGTGTCGTGCTTCTCTGTTTTGACACCATTACAATAATAAGAACACTAAGACAAGTGACAGCGAACAGATTCGTGAGCACATCGTAATGTAAAGCACTCTTTTTAAATATATAGTTAAACAAAGAGAACATGTTAAAGTTGCTTTCTAAAACTATTATGTTCAAAAGATTTTTAAACATTTGAGTTATTCGTTAGTACAATGATATAAAGTATTAGAAATAGAAATGGGAAAATCTGATTTTTTTGAAGGACAAGACAGAAAGATTAGAAAAAAATTAAAATGTAATATTTTGTAACAATTTTTTTATAAAAATACTTGCTTCAAAATATCTTGCCCATTTAAGTCAAGAAATTTTGGACTTTCCAAATAAATATTAAGTAAACAAAATATAAATTTAAAAAAAAGGAGAATGCTGATACCTTGAATGATAACACGATAAATAAGGGAACCAATGCTTGATTAACAAATAAAAAGGGAAAATAAACAGGAAAACTATATACTAAGAGGAACAAAAAGTTGATGTGCATAGTAGTTGTCTCTAAATTAAATTTAAAAGACATGATAAAACAGCGAGCAAAATATGTGCATTTACAATTGGGTAACAATGATGTTAAAGCAATGCAAAAAAAGTCAATCTTCCATTTCAATAAACTTGCAGAATGTGATTGCTATTTTGATAGCACTAAAAATATTTCACTTTCATTTTATGAATTCTATACACTTTACAGATAAAAATAACTCACGCTTAAAAATGTCTATACAGCAAGATTTACGCATCATAAAGATAAACAAAAAATTCATTGAGCTTGAAATTTGAAGCATTTAAAATTTAACATCATTGTAAGACCAACATTAATTGCTACAGACAAACATGTGAATATGAGCTGATATGATGTGTTTATGCACACTAAAGTCACAACAACTGACACACAAGTAGAATACTAGACAAAGATATGCAAGAAAACAAAGAGACTTTTAAAACAAGATACCATGATCCCACTTTTAATAATAACAAAGTTTTTTACCAAAAGGCTAAAGATTTAACAACCTTTTTTTTTACCAAAATATACTTTTAAAAAATAAATCCCAACTTTCAATTAACATCACGTAAAAGAAAATTTAACTAATGAGCTTTAAATTTCTTGCAGATCATTGAATGAAGATGACCTACATATGGTAAAAAAAATTAAAGAGATAAATTCTCTGCCCAAGAACAGAATGTGGAAAAATTTCTGTGACAAGGGCCAGAATACAATGATCTACCCCAGCCATCAGAACTGTAAGTCTCACCTGCTACTTCACCTATTTCTGTTTCTAAAAAGTGAAATTCTGCTAGTGCTTCTACTGTGTCAGGGTCTGTTTCATCTAAGCCTTCATTGCTATCATTCTGAAAATTCATTTACTCTTTTAGTAAAATGGAAATACAATTACCTTGAGGTTATTTTCAAGGGTGATTTTTAATTGATTCAACGTTTGCATTTTGTATTACTTAAGTATTTTCTACTATTGGTTTCTTAATAGAATTGATTGATTTTAATATTTATATCGCGCCGGTATCCATGCCACTTTAGCATGCTCACTGCGCCCTGGTCCTCCGAAATCTATTTAAGCAAAAAAATGTTTAATAGTTTCTTAAATGATTTTTTATCATTTTCAATTCCCCTCAAAGATTGAGGCAAACTGTTCCATAATTTTGGGACAGTCTCTTCAAAAGAGCGCACTCCGTAAGACTTTTTTCTGTGTTCATCCACACTAGGAACAGTCAGTAAGTCACTCCATGATTAACTCAATCATAGCAAAATGCTTTAAACAAAGATAGTGTATTGTATGTTTTTATAGGTCAGCCTGGATCTAGGATAACGCAGACCCTTAAAAAAATGCCAAATGTAAGTTCGCATCTGAATATTTTCTGGACGTCAAGAGACAGTGCAAGCTTGATATGCCCAGCAAGGAGTCAGTAAAATAAATCTTACTGAACATCATGTGAACACATTTCTTAACAGGCAGCTTGTGTGATAAGTACATTAATGTGATGACTGCATTGCAGACTAATACTGAGATTCCCCATTCTCAGCTTTTCCACAGAGCTTTCAATGAACAACACAAATGGGTTCACACACTGCATTTAAAAACTGTAGCTACAGGGATTGAGTAATACAAGGATTTTTGTTGCTATTTCTTAACACTGTGTCACAAATTCTGTGCTGATTCAATTACAAATGTTAGAAAACAAAAATAGACTCATGTCAGCATTAATTCAAAATCCATTTAGCTTGATATTTGGCGAAAGATTAAAAAAATACTAATGAGCAGAGCCCTACCTTCATCTCTCTTGTAAGAATGCTACTACAATCAATAACAATAACAAATGTAAAACTACAAATCCGTGAACAATGAAGAAATGATAAAATACGCCATCAGACCTTTAGTTTAATTCCTTTCCGTTCTAATCTTTCTTCAGCTTCATCGTCTGCAGCCATTCCATCTTCATTTTCATCACTACAGTGAGAATAATTCAAATTGAAAGTTAAGAAAATTACATGAAATATTCACAATAATTTTTAAAATGGAAAATATAGATTGTGGCATTGTAGGCCATGCTTTTACATATTCAGAACATTCACCACCCAACACTGCCGTGGAATTTGAACTTTGGGTTAGGTTATCACAACATAACATGAACATCCACTCCCACACTGCATAAAATATTTAAAGATATGAAACCACTATGTGTGCTTTTGTATAAGTTCAATAAGTTATTTCTCGGGAACCCCTAGGTAATTATGCTATAAATTATATCTTGTCGGAAAGGGGATTTTAGTCTCTATTCCGTAGTATCTTTGCAAGTCTAAAGCTTTAGAGGATACAGCAATATTAAGTATTTGAGGGAGTTTTCACATTCATCCATGGGGGTCCTAAACCCTTTTATTTAAAATATTTCAAAGACCATTTAACTTATATAAATATAAATTTGTATCTTAGATGGCTGAGACAAAACATAAACAGACACACATAAGTTTTCAGGGTTTTGGACCAAGATTTTGACTTTTATACAGGTTGCAGTCTCTAGGGATTGCCAAAAGTCAAGTAATAGACCGTCTTGTTGGAAGTGTGACGTAGATGCTCTCTAGGATATTCGAGCAACCCTATTAATAGTGTGTGTGTTTTGCCATTCAAAGTTTTAATCGCATCCCTAAAGCGCGCCATTATTCACTGGCACATTTGGACACTTTGTAAGTATAAGCAAATACGCCTTTATATTTCTGTGTAGAATGCAATTGTTAGGTTTTGTAATGGAAGATTTCTGTTCATTACTTATATTGGGCAGTGTTTTAATCACTTGTTAGCTGCGTCAATTTGACTTGTAACCATATTGTGAGCATACAGCCGTCCACTGAATTTTTAAAAGGAATTATTATATACCAGAGTGTACGTGAGCATAACACGAACTGTTATATCATTCTGGTTACACATACTGCAATGTGCTTTTAAGTGATTGATACAACAGTATTCAACCAGCAAATATATGTAAAATATGTGTAGAGGGCTAACTATCCTGCCATGTGCTAAATTCTCACATAGGTAATGGTGCATGTGTTAGGATAACATTAGCAGCTGTATTAAATAATTATTCTGCAATGCGCTTTTGTCTTAAAAATACAGCATTTGATTAATGCAACAAGTATTAAACTAACGATTGTTATACTTTATACCATTGTAGTAACTGTCCTGCTATGGGTGCATCTTATATAGACACCATACATGGATAACAACACAATAGTAATTTCTAGACCTGTATGTTAGCCCTCACATCTCACAGCGATTCTGAATGTAAGACGGTGTTGACAGGGACAGAGTTGTTTAGCATGTTTATTTGTTAGCTGTGTAATTCAAATGTTAGTCAGGACATTGTTTATCTGTACTATTGGTATCTTTACAGATATTGTCCTTTTTCTTACAAATTTTTCTTATGCTTTCTCTTAGGATTCATTTTCTTACACCATTCTTTTTTATACAACACTGATAGTACCAAATAAAGGCTACAGTCTTCAAGATCTGCATTTCCTTGAGTTTATATGTAAAACTGTCAGGCATATCTCTTCACCACTCTGCTTTATATATTTTCAGCAACATTTTTATAGCTGTTTCCATAATATTTTAAAAACATAAAAACAAATACAAATTTATCAGCAACAAAAAAAAATGTTTTGAATTTCTAAAATTTTACATATAAACAATTGCAATTTATTATTTTTTTATATTTCAACCACATAACACATTATTCAAAACAAAAAAACAAGATAAAAACATGAATTCCTAAATAAATGAAAAAGGTGTTTACCTAAGATCATCATCATCCTCCACAACATTTCCAGAATTAAGAAAATCAAAAGTGGTCATTACAGCATTCTCAGCATCAATGAGTGCACTATCATTTGCCATGTTGCTTAATTTCTTTAAACCAGCCCTGTTTACAAAAATTGGAATACCTCTTTATAAATGTAATTATCAAATAAAAGATGTAGGATCAGAAAAATAATAATTATAATAATAATAGGCACAAATTTAATTTTTACAAAATTATAGCTATTTAATTTAAACCAGAAAAGGAAACTGATTGTCCAAGCAGTCAGGTGCTCTAAAGCACCCACCAAAGCAGCACATCAGATACAAGTTTAGTCATCAGAACTTTATATTATACAAAATAATAAGTAAGTGTACCTCTTCCCCTGGTTATCTCGCTTATTAGCCTGATTTTCTCCATTAACAAGAACTGACTGTGAAATATCTGCATCACTTTCAGCTGTCTGTGTTTGAAGGCCAAGCAGAGACCGTACTCGTGCTGAACGTACATCAATAATGGTATCAGTGTAGCCTATTTCTTGGAGGTATCTAAAGATTTTTTTTATAAACATTTTAGTTTACATCAGCAAATAGATACTTTCAACAGTTTAGATAATACAAATAAAAAGGAAAAAAAATTGCTGCATAAACCATTTTACTCACTGCCGAAGAAGCTGTCGTCCTTGTCGCCAAGTGGCGTTGCTTGTTCCTGAAGAAGTTGATAATGAGATCTCCCCATCTATTTGGTCATCTAAAGGCATAAAATAAAAAAACATTTAAGAGGAGTTCATTCAATTATCATTTTTAAAAATCTCATTCAGGTTTCATTTATAATTTTTTAAATCTAAATTAGCTAGTAAACTAAACAAGTTAAATGAAGAAGTTGACAAGGAAAAAATATGAAATACCTTTATTTTCTTTGTCAAAAGATGGAGGCTTTAAATCGTCAGTGTTTAAGTCTGTACCATATTTAAGCTTATGGTACTTTGCTCTAAAATTAAATGAAATTAATTTAAAGTTAAGAATTGTGAATAACAATGAATACAGAGTGGCTTACCATGAAAGTTGACACCCCTAAAGTGGATCATTTAAATGAACTGCACATTCTATATTAAGTCATGACCACAAGCGATTCAAATGCATAACAGCCAGGCTTTTTTAAAAACCATATGCATTTACACCTAACATCTGGATAGCATACTCTAATACCCAAAGGCTGATTTTGAGATTGATCAATAGAACCGAAAGGAGATACTGATTAATCTACAATTTTTTTTACTGCTTATTTCAAGGCTGGAATTTTTATACATATAAAAAAAAATATTTTTTTCCACAAATTATGTAATTGAAGCTGTCTCCTAGATCACAATTTTAAATATTATTATTGTTCAAAAGTTAGTCATCAGTTTTACTATATAAAATAGGAACAATGAAAGTATATCAATTTAATAATATTTACCTTTCTTGCTTCAAGGCAAATTCAAGCATCTTAATTCGCCTCACCAAGTCTTGCTTTAAATTCTCTTGTCCTTTGCGTTCTCCTTGCAAAAATGCAATTCTGGCCTGAAATTAAGTAATTAATAGATAATAAATTTATTTCTGCTCGAATTAATATTTTGCTTGATGAGTCAGTTTAGGGACAAATTCCTAAATAAATGTTTAGAAGTTTAACATAATTTTTTTTATGATAGACCATTGAATGATATTAACATGTGCTCAAAAATGTTGATATTTTAAAAGAAATGTTTTTTAACAATTAACATTCGTTTGCAAATAAAATAGAGTTCACATTTAACATTCAAAAACTGATTTCAATAAGTACAAGTCCACACATTTTTTTCGTCAAATTGAAGTATCTGAGCATTTCTAAGCCAGTTACACTTTGATTTCAGCTGATCAGGTGCAAATTGTTAATTGGAACTTTTCAATACATAGTTTACCAGAAAAAAAAAGCACATAATCCATTAAGTCTGAGTATGTCACAGGAATAATAAGAAGGAAGACAGTTAATATTTCACAGTAATTCACAGAAATGTTATTTGAACAATTTGTGTAGTACTAGGTAGGTAAAAACAAGATTTTAAAAAAATGTATGTTGCTAAAGAGATGTTATATTTTTGTATAAATAATGACAATGTATGCCTATTAACAGTTAATATTATATTAATATGGGCCAATCAATCATATTCAGCAGATTAAAGATTCCTTGGTTAAGCACAAGGGACAATATTTATAATGTTTATAAGCTCTAGCTTTTATTTGAATAAATATGTTAGCCTAAGTTAGATTTAATAATAATTAATATGCCTAGTCTATTGGTCCACAGGATTATGATTGCAAACACATTGACACTAGCAGCCTAAACTAGACAATAATTATGAATAAGTGCATACAAGTTTTATTCCTAATAATTATCATCAATTAAGTACTAAATCTTAAACCCTTTTGAGATGGAGCCTTTTTGGACTGACTGTGCCAAAAAGATGGAGTCCTTTTCACAAGCCCTGCACTTATTTTGCAAAAAAAATTATTAAAAAATAAACATTATTTTACAAATATTAACTTTATATATTTTGTAGGGGATGGAATAAAATAATATGATCTTAATCTATCAAACTGAAATCTCAACATTAAGCAAATGAGATTAAAAAAATTTTTTACACTGAAAATAAAATTGTTTACCGTCCTGATTTAACAAAAAAGGTATGATTGTTGAAGCCTATGTAAGTCCTAACTCATATTTAAATGAGATTCAATTTGAAAAATGCATAAAACATTCCCCTGGGGCTGTCATGCCTTTTGGCATATTACAAGGTCACATATTTTTGAAGCATTTATAGAGGTCACTTGGTACCAAAGAAAATTTATATAAAATGACAGAATACCGTAAAATATCAATGGAAGCCAACATTAAAATGGCGATATGAGCAAGAAATGCTAGAAGCATCCAATACTGAGGCTTGTATTATAATTATTGGGCAGATAGATCAGCCTTACGTATTTTTTCGCCTTAACACTCTGGGTCAATTGATCGGCCCAACCGCCTCAAGATGGATAAACACAGGTAATGAGGCCCATCCCTATGCCTATATAAAAATAAAACTACTTTAGGTTTAAATTGATTTCATATTATCTCCAAATAATTTTAAATTATTCTCAAGAATTCAAGATGAGACTGAGTGGATGACTAGATTTTAGTGTGCTAGAGTTTAGGTTCAATATTCTTTCTTAGGCTTACAAATTACATATTAGGCTAATGAATGTCTACAAGGGCCTGTCCATAAATCTATTTTTGACAATATTTATCCCCCTCCCCCCAACCCTGTCACATACTACACCATCCCCCACACCACCCAAAAAAAATTTTGGAACTAAAAAATTAACAACTACTTAAAATTTAATCCAAATCACACTTCACAATTAAATTTATATTGCCATGTATCAATAGCATCATTATAACTTAATAGAAAGTTAAACATCACCATGATTTTCAGGTTTTATATGTATGATGTCACATTCACATGATCTTTACACCTCCCACTTTCATAGTAATCTTAGTATTTTGCCTACTACCCCAATTAGCCCCCTAATAATGTTAATATGTCATTGTTGTCAACATTTGAACATATATTTCATTCATCAATCAAATTTATAAATTTCTATACCCAATCCAAGACCAAGGTGAGTGATATTATTATTTTTGATAGAGTTAGAGCTTAGGTAGGCTAGGAGACTTGCATTCTTTAATTATGAGACATAAACAAATTACGGAAAGTTAAAAAGTTGGAAAGGGTGAACTGAAAAGACAGTCAGGAGAGCCTTATAATTATAACTTAGGTATTATTATCTTTTAGGTAGTAGTAGCTAAAACTAAAAGTAGTAATAAAACTACAACAATAATAATCATTAATAATTAAATAATAGTAATAGTAATAGAGTGGCATAAGAGATACTTCCATGTTTAATGTAATGGCCATGGATAAAGGAAAGCGGTATACAGTAGTACAAGAAATAGTACAAGATTAAAGGAAAGGTTTCTTTGTGTTTGAAACAAAGCAAACTGTTAACAAAGTTGATTTATTTTAATGGCAATCTACGCACTTGTAACTCAGCTCGTTCCACTTCCCACTGAGACCTCTCCATTTCGAATCTTGCCCATTCTGTTTGGAGAAAGTGGAGGATCCCTGGCATTGAATACTGGGGACGCTGTTTAATTCCATCTTCTTGCTGTGATTTAGTAACCATGCCTAATGCACCTGAACCGGGCCCAAGTTGGCCTCCGTGTTGTGATCCTGGGCCGTCTTCTATCATATTTGCATGGTCGCCATTACAATTTTCGTGTTAGTCGTGGGGGCGCTAGCCATCAATATGACGTCACAACTGCCAAGTCAAGTCTAAGCGATCAATGACTCAAATGAATAGGTTGGTGAAATAAAATCAATCGAAACTTAACTTATAGAATTTTTCAAGAAGATTTCTACATTTGTATGCATTCCTGTTAAATAATAAATATAAGGGTAAAATATAAGATATCAAACAAATGGGATAAGCCTAAAACTTTTCCCCTAAAAATTGTTTATCTGGATCATGCAAAAGGAAAAGTAGCCAGGACCAGGATTTAAAACAAATAATTTATAAATTACCAAGAAGTAGGCTTAGTCGGTGTGTGCGTAGGCCTAGTGCTTAATACAGGTAGTTGATAATAATAAAAATATAATGATAGATAAACTTAAATTTTTTAGTAAAATCATCATGGCCACGGAACACTTGCCAAAACTTGGCTTGTTTAACAAGTTTAAGTTGAATAAAGTTAAAAAGAGTCTAACTTAGACTCTTTTTTTTTTTTTACTTACTTATAGTAGTACTTTGTCGTATGATTCAACTTCAAATTCATTCAAATGTGATTTTGAGAACCTTCGGCCTTTAGTTTAGAACTTATTAGTATTTACACTGTAAATATTAAAGTTAAAGGTAAAGTTTCTCAAAATCACATTTGCTTGCAACTATGAAAAATGGCAATGTCAGTATGTCACAGTCACACTATGTACTATTACTATGTGAATGTGTTGACAACTTAACTTAACAATTAACAACATATCATTGTCATATCTCTGAATACTGAATGAATGAAATGTAGCAATGTAGTGCAGTGAAGGAGTGAAGAATGAAAGTGAAAGCAGGCCTACAACACTAAATTCTTTTAAAGTTTAAGTACAATCATTCAGTACTTATTTATGTACTTTTTATACTATTTATTATAATTATTTTATTTTTATCTCAATCTTAGTAGTCTCAATCTATTAAAATAATTTTTTTTTGGATTTATTTAAGTTATAATCATTGGATGAACTGAGTGATCAGAATCTTTGCATCGCAATGTCTTAACTTAAACTTAAATGTAATATTAATAATCATTTAATTATATAATAATATAATTTTTTTTTATAAGTATAAGAGATTCACAAACTGTCCACTGGGGTAGCTTACAAGTTACTACATTAGTTCTGGTGGTACACTGCAGGGGAATTTAAAAAAGGAATACACTTACACAGATTACAGATACCCATTCCAAATTTCAGCTGATTATTGATGTCTAGCAACATCCCCAAAAGTTTGAGAACCCCGGTTTTATACCATCATTAGCCTATCTATTAGCATGTGTGGTAATTTAGTATATATTATTAGTTTTATATTTATAGGCCTAAATATAATCCAGTGGCCACTGACAAACCTCAAATTCTAAATGATGTAAAACTAAATTAAGTTGAAATTCAACTTGAAATGGGATTAAATATAAGTTTTAGTTTGGAAGAATAACTTCAACATGACAAAAATAATTAGGGAATATTAATTGTATTTATTCTTATACTTATAGTCCGGTCTTACCAGTGGCTTTCGATTTTTGCATATCAGTGGATGTGGGAAAACGGGAGAAATATTTCTGAGTCTTAAGTTTAAGTACCATAACCAACTAAGTTTATTTTTTATAATTTAAATCAAATTATGAATGAATGAAAGTATTACTTGTCAAATCTAATATTAATACTTTAACAAGGAAATGCTATAAATATTTTAAATCACCAGAAACCCAACTGTTAAGTAATCAAAAATGCTGATAATAATATTAGAAGATGTAGATTTTGAGAAGCAATATTTAATTCATATAATATAAAGTTAAATCGTAAATCTGCTGGTTTAGTTTTTGCTAAATTTTTTTATATTTCAAAATTTGATAGTTGTTTCTGAGAGACAAAATAATTACATTTCTATGTGTTTGGTGCTCTCCTCACACAAATTGGTATTCTAAAATCTGTCCGATAAGAGAGATGGATATTCCTTTTCAAGTGAGACAATCATAGTTACAATGTTTTATTTTTCACTGCTAGTATGATTTAAAATAAACAAACAATTGGAGCAGGCCCCTAAGTGGAAACATCTCTAAATACCGGGTATTCCTTTTGTACAAGACTATTAAAAAGATTGAGATTTTAAAGCACCTGCCTTTTTTTCAGTATAAGAATATCTGTGTAAAGGCCCTAACAGGCTCATAATGAGTTATTTAAAATAAGTCAATGACAAACATAAGCGCAAACCAGTAGAACAATAGCATATATTAATCTAATGAATGCCTCAGAACCCTTGGGTCAAGAATACATAAGCAGCTCCAAAATGCTTGTGTCACCTGTAGTCTCTCTTGTTTGCTCTCTTCATTTTGAAGAAATGAATTGTTCCCTCACATTTTCTGCTCTTAAGTCACTGAACCTAATTTTATGTCTACTTTCCCACCACAACAATTTCATAAAGTTTGACCTGTGGCGCTTTTGTGTGTGTGGCTGGGTGGGGGATTTCTTTAGACTTCATTTTTTGGTTCCTCAGAATTATTACCTTTTAATCCACTTGAGGAAATTTACCAGTATTTCCGGATCCTTGTTTTAATGTTACTTTTTACTAGCACTTTTTGCAGAATGAATTGGTGATGTTATATTCTTAAAGATGCAATTTTTTAGACTTATTTTTATTGCAAAAAATATTTAATTTGTGTGTTACAATTGATGTCTGTTAAACCCAACAGTTGCCTTTAATTAAATAGTGGTCGGACAAGTGACAACCAAGCAATGATCCTATTTTGCCTGATTGTAAACAAGCAAGGAAGAGTTCGACTGAGGAGGTAACTGAAAAATATACCAATTTATTCATTTGAGTTTGAGCTTAATTTTTATGAAAGCCTTAAAATTAGAAGGATAATAAAGTGTTACTTTTGGTTTTGAAAGAGGGGAGATGGATTCAGGAGAAAGACATCAAACAAGAGACTCGACTTATAAAATTAAAACTGAAATACTTATGATCTTAAAAAAATTGGGGTACAATTTCAAATTTGTATAATGAGTTCTGGTGAGGCACAGAGCAGAACATTTTTTTTCTAATTCACTACTTAGCTTAGAAAGTAGTAATTGATTACCAAAGTTCATAACTTAGCTTAGAAAGTAGTAATTGGATTACCAAAGCTTGATTAATTTAACTCAAAATGTAATGGAAGTTAGTGAAAGGTATTTAATACAGAAGTAACTAGGAAAAGGTAGGGCAAAATTTGCTTTTTCTATTCCAATACCTTTACAAAATGTGATTTGTGGTAAAAAATAAAATATAAACAAAAACTTCTTATTTCAACTAGCTTTGTCAGTTTTAACTACCAGTAGTTAAATGTAAGAAACATGATAACAATACAGTTTTTGAGACGTGTCTGCATATTTATGCCTTAATATTATTCAATTTGTTATTTTTGTTTGTTAATATTTCAGTTATAACAATTTTTCAATGTATAACATCAGCCTTTGTGTGTTTTTGCTACTTTCACAATTTATAAGTCTTTACAAAATTATTTTCTTTTTTGCCTAGGAATTATCAACATATTGAAGAAAAAGAAAGAGATGTGAGAGATTCTTTAATAATCTCTAAATGTTTAACAAGAACAAAAAAACAGGTGCTTATTTTGTAAATAAGTTATACACACCTCATATTTAGATAATTTATATATTTTTTTCTTTTCTACTGATGAAGGCTTGTAATGGCCAAAAAGGTTTCAGGAAATACTTTTTTAACAAACTTGGAATGCAAACTTCCCCACTCTCTCTAAATCTTAAGTAGGGTAATGTTTTAGACTTAATCTCAGTGGCCTACATGGAAGTTCAAAAGATTGAAATTTCACCTATTGTCCTACTTTGATAGTGACAAGTGCTTCCCATTCCCCAATCTAATTTTTTTTTCCTTCAAAAATTGCTGTGTAATTCCATGTAAATCTTTAAGTTTAAATATTTATTATTTTGATTTTTTTAATAGATCAAAAGGTTTTAAATTTATATGTAAATGCCATTCTGTTTTAATATTAGATTTTAATAATATAAAATTTTGAAAAATTTTTCCCAGTGCAGTTTTTTCAGTTATGATGGCATGACAATAATTTACAAAAGTTTCACAACTTTAACACTCATTTGTGGTGTAACTAAAGATGAGGTAAAGGTTTTCTTTTTTCTTGATATAAAAAACAACATACTTTTAAGTTTTTTGAGTAAAATTGAATCCTATTACTCTTGTTTTTTTACACTGCCATAATTTAGACCAGGGGTCTCAAACTCGAGGCTCGCGGGCCATTTGCGGCCTCATACCCGACAAATAAGTTTAGGCCCGACCGGTTGTCCCCATTCTCATATCTTTAATGTGATCCCCACGATGGTTTCATTCGAATCTCACGGACTAGTATATTTCTGATTTTATTATGTTTATTTAGGTTTGGACTTTGATTATAATGGGAAAAAACGTTTTAAATCGGAATAAAGTTTTAATTTTTATAGCATTTTATGAGACACATATGGCCTAAGTGCGGTTTTGAGAAAAGTTTAAAAGTCAGTCAGTGTTGCCTATGACAATGTCAGGGCATTCTGCACAAAACTTGTGTTATAGTTTTCAGAGAAACCTCTGCCATTTCCCAACATGCAAAGTACTCATGGACCCTGGCACATGCACACCATTCAGTAGTATTTTTATACTAGTAGTAAGTGCACTGATGCCTTTGCAAAGCTACAGGAAGAATTTGATCACAGTTTGCCGACTTCAAAACACACAAGTCCCTTTTCAAATTTTTGCTGACCATTTCTCCTTCAATGTGGATGATGCCTCCATCCCCCTTTTTGCGCTTCAAATGGAGCTGTTTGATCTTCAGTGCAAGTTTAGGGAGGTGAATGGAAAAACAGACAAATATGGACAATTTATGAGAGCATTCCCCTCCACCTTCCCTGAGATTTCCAGGTTGTTCAAGAGAATCATGTGCCTTTTTTGGGAGTACTTATCTGTGTGAACAGCTCTTTTCCACTTTATTCAGGGTCAAACTTACTTCAAGATATGATGGTCTCAGTTGCTTACTCACTCAAGCCAAATGTTGCTCAAATGTTTAAGAAGGAGCACTGCCAGGTCCCAAGCAACAAGGAGTAGGAAGAAGAAAGTAAAGTCCAGGTCTTGAGAACCCTTTGTTTTTATTTGTTAATAATAAAGGTTGAGCACATTGTAACGGTTGTACTTTATTGAATTTGTAATCGCTTTTTTGTGGAATACTTGATGCGGCCCAGGCTCACTCAGATTCAACCTCCTGCTGCCCCCGGATGATATGAGTTTGAGACCCCTGATTTAGACCTTATTTAAATTATAGTTTCAATTTTGTGGTAAAAATTTTAGCTCATTCATTTTAATTTTTTGCCCAAATGGCCAGTATGTTCTAAATCAGTGTTTGTTAGCTGCAGTCTGCAGAAATTATCTCCAAAAATTATTGCCATTTAACTCATAGCCTTGATCATGCAGTAGAGAGCATCAGGACCATTCAGAGGAGAGTGTTGACAAGGACACTGATATTGAAGATCATATTAGATATTACAACTGAGATGTTTAGTGATTCACCTTGATGAATCAACTGCTGTGAATAACCAGGCTACCAAGAAATGGATGGCTTAGCTTTGATTTATTTAGCTTTCTCAACGGATGTGTATAAAAAGAAGCTTTCTTGGATAGTATGACAGCTGCTGAAAATTTTTATTGCTTATTAAGTCAACCAGAAAGTTATAATCAATATTATAATAAATAACATTTCAGGGGCTTTAGCTGGAAATTTAATCTTCATTAATTTCAGAGTAATAAAGATTAAATTTTTCAGCTAAAGCCCCTAAATTTCATAGTGAGTATTTCTTAATGTTATTCTTTCGCGGATTAGTTATCTCTTAAGCTGTTATCTTTGATTACGGTATTGGTAACTATTATTAAGGGAAAAAGATTTTTTTTAGCGCTTCAACTCTGAGAAGCAGCACTGTGGCTATGATTATCAAATATTCTGCAAAAGAAACCCATCCTTTTAAGAATAATTTATTTCTTTATATTTATTACTGTATGATGACAACAGAAAAATAACTGAATGCTGTTATCATTTTTACATTATTTTTATTATTTCAAATTTTAGAATGAACTTTCTATCCAAGAGTTGTTAAATGTATTTATGGATTGCCTTGGGTCTTACTTTCAGCATGTGGTAAGTATCATCAGTTAAGTTACATTTTGTCCTCTGAAGTATTTGAGACTTGAATCAAGAGCGCCTAATCTTAATATATGGTTTAAGTGTCTTTAGAAGTGATTTTGATATTGCTTTTAATCTATAAAAATGAAAACTTAAATTATGTTTAATTAATTTTGTTATTTTTGGCCCATTTATTTCAGTCAGAAATGGATGTATCCTTTTGTGTTGTCACATGAATAAGACAAACTTCATTAACCTGTTTCTAGGGATGATAAAAATATGGCTGCGACTATTTGCACCCAGACACTCTTTGCCGCCATTCGCACCCGGGTCCCATTAGACTCAATATTATTTGGATGTCATTTGTGGTAGTTTATTTTCGTTAAACTGAAGAAGTAAGTTTACAAACATATAGTCCATTCAATTATCCTTCATTATGATGCCTCATTTTGTCTTACAAACCCAACAATAATATTTTAAATAGTTTTTTAATCCCAACCTCTGACTTATGGTACACAGGTGCAAATAGCCACTTTGTAAAAATATTGGAGAGTGGATTGGGATTGCTAGGTTTAGTAAACTACCTGTATTTTATATCAAAACTGGTTAATCCATTAGCACAATGTATAAAGGATTTTTTTTTTAAACATCTGTTTAAAAAAAAATTAAAATTAAATCTCCTTATCAAATTTCAGATAGTATATAATATTGAGAGAGTCTACATAATTTTGGATGAACTTATTGTTAATGGATGTGTTGCTTATACTAGCAAAGAAAGAGCACTTATTCCACTTCAACTCATGGATGCAGGAACTTGAAATTTGAATGGCTACGCTTTTTTTAAAAAAAGTATCGTGTTAACTTATTTCTTTTACTTATTGTAATATAATATTGAGGATAATTTGTTGCATCATAAGTTAAAGTGATTGAATCATTGAATATATAATATTTGATGTATGACTTATATTTTAATCAATGTCTTTTGCAACAAAATAAAAATGAGTAATATTCCATAAACTCTTTTGAAAAAATGTTGCATTATCCTTTTTTGCTATCTAGTAATTTTTTTCCCTGAGTCCTTTACATTAACTTAAATAATCACAAAAAATTTATTTTATTGCACCCCCTTTGAATTATTTGTTTCATGAAATCTTAGACCACCTCATGTCTAGTACCCACCCTTATTTCTAATTGTTTTGACCACTGACTTACTAACCAAATAATTGGAAAGGCTAGGATGATGAAAATACCGTCTATAAAAGTTTCAATTCAGATTTATGAATCCGAGACATTGCACCAATGTTGCATATAATTTCTCCATATGAAATGTACAAATTATCCGCTCTTTTGAATTCCATCATCCACCCATCAAATTTACACAGATTATTTATTAATTATCAATACATCTTTGAATTTCAATTACAATACAATAAATCTTTATTTTAAAATATCCTCTCTCGTCATAACTGGTCTTTATTGTCAGTTTGAAACTAACAGTGTTAAAATACTCTAGTTACCACTTGTAATAATACCCTTACCATGTAAAGAAACTAGCCCATTGCCACAAGTAATTTGCTTGCACCCTCTGTGTCAAAAACAATGAAGGGATCTAGGAGAAGTCCTTAAAAATTATTGATTTTTTAAAAGAAAACAAAAATATCCAGAAATTATTCCCTGTTCAGTATTCACTAATTAAGTGACTTGTAAAAAATTTAAAAAAAAAACAATTTTTAAAAAATGCACTTATGACTATGACACCAAGAAAAAAACTTGACGTTACTTATTATCCATAAAGCCTAGATAAAATCCTAAATGTTACTATTCAATCTTCTTGCTAGGATGCCACAACAGGATTTGCGTTCAAAATATACAACTACTCATGAAAAATATTTTTATTGCCCTGTTCCTAATCCAATTAATTACCCAATTTATGGAAAATTTTGTATGAAATGAGAGATGAGATGGACTCACTCTAACCATTTTAAATTTTAAACACAACACACATAACAGGAAGGGCAGAAATTTTTATCATAACTCTCAGTTGCATGTTACAGAACAATTGTATGAGTCAGCTGTAAAATCAAACTGATAACGCACAGCACATTAATGACCAAATGGAAATGAATACAGTTTTCCTCTTTCATCCCGTAGGCAATATTAAAATGCTTAATTAAATATACTTTTTTTAAAAAGAGACTTTCATGCTTTGAGCCATCCATACTAATACTAAAATCTCACAAGAAAGCAAAAAACAAAATACCAAATACAGCTTTTCAACTTTAAAGGTATCAAACCATATAAATATTTAAGTATAATTAAAATTTTTGAAAAATTATAAATGTCACAAATTGTAAGGGTGACAGATTAATTATTTTATATTTTAAGTAGTAATTTTAATAAAGCTGATACGGTAACAGTGTTATGATGGTTCAGGTACGAAACATCAGAACCATTTGTATAACATACAGTGGAAAATATTTAACATGAAAAACCACGGAGATAAATATTTTTAATTCAAAGATTTTCAAAAAAATAAATGTTCACATTTTTTTTTCCGGTACATAGAAAGTGTTAAAAGTTTTTTTAAACTAAAACATACAGTGCTAAAACATACAGAGGTACGCATTGGAGACATTTGGTCCTTATTCTTTATGAAAGCTGACCATGTGGAATTAGCCATTTTGAAATGTTTATGAAACTCTCTTATTGATAATTCATTTAGACACAATACTTTGAATAATTTAACTTTAAGCAAAATACTTCTTTGTTGCCACCCTGTTTATTATATTTATATTTGCACAGTAAAAGAAATAAACTTTACAGGTTTTATGTTACTACACACTTTTGCAGGCAGTTGCTCCTAGCATCTCTTGTATAATCTAGTCATCCTAGTAATAATAATAATAATAATAATAAAGTTCATTTCAAAAACACGCTTCATCCCCAAAGGCTCGAAGCGCGGTACAAAGTGAACAAAAAACAAATCTATAATTTACCACATTTAAAACAAACGCAATACTACAAAAACTAATTACAAGCATACAATGTCAAAGTCTTTCAACCCATTTCAACCGTGAGCAACACAGCTAATATGCATTAAATGGAAAATATTGTAGACAATCATCCCAGAAAGTGTTAGTAAATAGAAAGTTGAATCAAAAAGTTTATTTTTTATGATTAGGTGGCTGGTGCAGTTTTTATCTGAGATGCAAAATGTTTTCATATTATTATTTTTTTTTTGGTTCATACTGGTACTAAAAACTAAAAGTACATTTTTTTTAAAAATTACGAAATGATATGGAATTCGCTGTCGCTAGAATTTGTTTTAAGTTAACAATTTTCTCATGTCAAACTAATTCCACTGCATATTAAAAACATACAAAATCAACAAGTGGCTATTCATCATAAATCAATCAATCATTATTACCACCTGGGTCTATGTCTAAAAACATTTTAATCATGTTTTTGTGGCTAAGAAAACTTTATTTTATTTTTTAAATTTAACTGCTTTAACAAGTACAAGTTAGATATACCTTGTACCTACTAAATACTTCTCATGATATTATTGATCTTTTGTCTATAAACAAAGTATTAAAAAGAATCACATATCCATTTCCTGCCTAGATTTAATTACCGGTAATTCTTCAACATTTATTGTTTTCTTTCTACGACCAAATTTCCTTAACTTATTTCACAGCCACTGGTGGAATAAAATTTTAATCCATGCATGACAACAAAATAAAGTCAAGCCATATATTTGTTTTAATCTCCTTTTGGTTTTATAATTATAATAGATGGTGCAAGGCAACCACTTTGTGCCTGTAAAATACTGGAAGTTGTGCAGAATCTATAAATATCATGCTCAATCACATACATAACAAAAGAACATTTTCACCTACTAAGCATTGGTGGATATATGAGTGCATTCAGGAACAAACACCCCCCCCCCCCCCCCCCCAATAAAAACAGTGCTAATAGTACATAGCAACACAAAAAAAAGGATAGTTATGTCATTTTTTGCTGCAAAAGCTTTAGTTGAGTTAAAAACTATTTAAAAGGGGTTAAACTGGATCCCCTTTCTTGAGTGAGGCAGACAATTTCCACCCTGGATTTATTATTATTAAAGAAATAATAAGCCTTGATGAATGTTAAGCAATGTTTATTGAATTCTACTTCACACTAATCTAAGACATGTTCTCCCATTAGTAATTTCAGTTCAGGTATCCAGCTTAGCCAAAGAACTACATGTTAGGCTAACAGGATCACTAACAACACTTCTAAAACGAACTATCCTACTTTCAGCGTTCCTACTCCCTCGCTTTCCCCTGTACTACTGTCCACCTGCATACCACTAAACATGTAGTATCCCCTCTCTTTATAGTATCCCTACGCTACCGGTAATCTAAACAGCATTCAGTCACACTAAATCTGTTTTCATTCAAAACAAATGGACATCCTCACAAAACAGACTTCTAACACATTGACAACCTTAATGCAGAACTTTTTCTTTCCTGCATTATATTTAAGACTACAAACAAAAGTATATGGTATTTGTGCAGGTCATTTGTTTTTGATTTCAATACAAATAAATGCATGATAATAGTTGACTCAAATTATCTAATTTAGAAACAAAGTTATAATACGAATGGTGGATCTAGACATTTTTTATTAAGTGCAGATCCCGAATTATTTATAAGAATATCAATGTGACATACCATAATTTTATTCATGTGGGTCAATTAAATTTAGATGATTTCACAATTCTATGTTCAAGAAGCACAAAAATATCCAGTTCATTTAGGGTGCTAAATAATAAAAAAAATTTTTTTTAATGATTATTTGTATATAAAACTTGTGCAAAAACTAAATGCCGGTATTTAATAGAATGATTAGTTTGAGATATGTATTGTAAGTTAAGTAAATGAATTTCTAATGGACCTTTCTTTCATTTATAGCCCCATTAGGATTTCTTAAACCATGTGCAAATTTCAATGGTTCATTTTTTTAAAGTTAGCCAATCACAGTCATACCAGCAATGCTGGACCGGCCCCTTGTAGAAATGGTACCGGGGTATAGCATTTAACGGTTAAAAATACATGTCTCAAAGCTGACTTTTCCTAGCCATTTGTAGTGTGTAATCTTGAAATATTGTTGTCAGTGGTCATTATTGAAAGTTCCCACCTGGAGGAAGAAAAGGGTTTAAAGTTATGTCAGTATTGTCTGTGATCATTTCTAATGTACAATAGTTTTATTACATTTTATCTTCCAAGACCTTTCTGATTCAATGTTTAAAATCAGTGGCTAAACAAGTGAAATTAGTTATTTAAAGAAAAACAGAACTTCCCCAGCAAATTTATTGAAAACTTAATTGCAGATTACAGGTACTCCTAAAAATGTCAATTACCTCAGATCATGTGGTAAACAACTACGATCCAACTTATGTTCTATAATGACGAGAGACGCCAACGTTTTCAGTGTTGGCTCTGAATGAAACAGAATTTTATAGAGTCAGTAATCACAAATTTGGTGCATAATTAATAATTAATGCTACTTGATCTACTGTGGCATTTTCGTCATCTACAATAGAAAAATCTACTTAACAAAATAATTGTATTGTATTTAAATGTTTTTTTTAAAAGGTTTAGCATCCAACCAGATGATAAGAGACATAATGGTTTTTCAAGTAGATTTTTGTTTTTTTTAACTGCTAAAAAAATAAAATTTGTTAGGGTACCGGTACTCTTTAACAACTCATAACATTCATTTATAATTTGTGGTAACAACCAGTCAACAACAATTATTGTAGCCCTTTAGGTAGAGTGGCATACCAATACCCCTAAACTACAGTTTCATGATTAGTATGTTTCTCAGATAAAACATATAATTAATAAACTTCAACTATAGATAAAGTAAAGTTTTTGAAATTGAAATATTTTCTGAAACAACTTATGTAGGTACCAGCATTAATTTTAATAAAGTGAAGAACCTTTACTTTAAAAATTGTTCACTTACCAAAATCAAGCACATACAAATCTGATCTATCAATTAAATCTGATTCAGACTGGTGAGGTGATCCTGATTTGTCAGATGGAAGTCTAGGACTTGTCCCACCAAAAAAATATACTTTAGTGCCTACAACACAGGCACACTGTCGACGTCGAGGGGTAGGGCAAGTTCCTGGTACATTTAACTTTGTCCACTGCATTGTAGCTTGAGAAAGGAAATGAAGAAATTGATAAACTTATCTGTAAATCAAATTATACTTTATCATCAAATGTTCCAGATGGGTCAAATATAATTTATATTCCTATTATTGGGTACGCCATACTTGGACTTTAATGAGAATTTATTTTGTCCCTGCTGAACAAGGCGTAAATAAAAATAAAAGATAGGAAGAAAGCAGGCAGGCGATATGCAAGAGTCTCCCCCAAATCAGCAGCCAC